CTCTTGGAGGAGAGACGAAACGTTTCATTAGAGAAGAACCCGTCCAGAGGACCTATACTATTTTTTTCTTTTTGATGTTTAAAAATTAACTCTGGAGCTAGCGCCACACATTGCCATATAATTAGCTCTGAAGCTAAAAGTAAAGCTAAAGAGCTAAAGCTCAAGCTTCTTCAAAGCAGCAGCTCTGTTGTCTCCATCTTTTCTTTTTCAGACATTTCTACATTCTCCTCTGTCAACACATTGGTTTTATTTAAAACAGACATTTTCCAAGTTTCCATCATTTAACCAGAATAATTTGCGGCGTAAATGACAAAAGAGGTGGAGACATTTTTCTTTGTAACAATATTGTTTTAATTTATAAAAACTAAACAGCCTACAGTCTGATTTTTATAGGTGGAATAAATGTTTATTAAATAATGTCTGATGGTACAACCAGTAAGAGATCCTTTTAAATTACATTGTTAAGGTCTAAAATTGATCGTTCCAAATTTAGGACTTTTTCCTGTTAACAGGGAGTTTTTCCTCTCCACCGTTTGCTCAGGATGGGAGACTGTGATGAAGTGATTCAACACAATCTGCTGGTTTCTTCTTTAGATTGTTCTTTTCATGTACAGTGCCCTGAGACAACATATGTTATGACTTGGTGCTATATAAATAAACTGAATTGAATTGAATTGAATTAAACCAGTGGTTTCCAACCCTGGTCGTCCAGGACCCCTATCCAACGTGTTTTACTTGTTTCCCTGCTCTTCAGCAGGTCTTCAGAAGATTGTTAATCACTCATTCATTCAAACCAGGTGTGTCAAATCAGGGAAACATTTAAAAATCACTGCTTTAAATGTTGACCAACACCTCAAGAGCTTCTCTGAGCTTAATGAGACATTTTCAAAATATGTTGACTTAGTTTTATGTTTTTTAGTATTGCCTCTGGAAGACATTGATTCTTTGCCATTTATTTGTAAATAATATATGAGATAACATTAAAGCAGTGATTGTCAACTTTAGTCCTCAAGGACTGCTTTCCTGCATGTTTAGATGTTTCCCTGGTTTGACACACCTGGTTTGAATGAATGAGTGATTAACAATCTTCTGAAGACCTGCTGAAGAGCAGGGAAACAAGTAAAACTTGCTGGATAGGGGTCCTTGAGGACCAGGGTTGGGAACCACTGCTCTAAACCAGTAGTGGTTCCCAAACTTACAGCTTTTGACCCACAAAATAAAAGCATCAGAGACTTGTACCCCCAGCTGTCGTCGGTTGATAAACATTGTTTTCGTGTCAAATAAACAAGAGCATAGTAACATTATTTTTTAAATGATTTTTGTCCATTTTAAGGACAGTAATCTTATTATTTCGTAACAACAAAGGCAAAAAATGTTGTTAGTTGTCATTTTTGGTGTAATGAATTCAGAAAAATATTTTCAGGACCCCACTGTGGGTCCCAACCCCAACTTTGGGAACCACTGCTCTAAACTAAAGGCCTTTCAGGAAATAATGCATATGTGCACCTTTCATGCCAGAAATTTAATATCATCTTATGTTGAAAAATGACAGCTGTAGCTATTTTGGTCAGGTCTAAATGAATAAATACAAACATTATGTTTAATGTCCTGATGCATCTCAGTAATCCAGGTAAAAAATCAATCAAGAAAAAAATTGTGTAGGTCTTCTGGACGGGTTCTTCTCTAATGAAACATTTCATCTCTCCTCCAAGAGACTTCTTCAGTCTGAGACTTTCAGGCAAAATTCAGGCTTTTAAGCACTGCCTCCATGTGACTGATACTCACATCACATGGCTA